TTGGCGGCTTCCCGTGAAATCTCAGGTTTCCTGAAGCACTCGCAGGCAGCAGGCACCAGTGCACTTGGCTGGGCTCTTCCCTCCCTCTGGAATGTTTTCCCCCGTTCCCAGATCCTCTCTCTCTTCCCATGTGGTGAACTCCGCCTTGGTCGTCAAGGCCCGACTCAAGTATGTATCACTCCTGTTCCCAGGAAGCGTCTCCCATCACCTCCTCCCTCCTCCAGACAGAGCTGGTCCCCTCCCCAGTTTGTTCATACCTGTATCCCGTGGCTCTTGCCACCAGGATAGTGTGGGTGGTTATGTGTGGGAGGCTCTTTGTTCTCTTGGGAGCTTTTGGAGTCTGGGGACCATGCCTTTCTCACCTCTGAAACACCAGTACTCTGTCAAATGTCGAATGATGGTGTGCTGTTGTCACCTGGCATTAACCGCGGTGCTGAGTGGGTATTTGGCATGTGTTTGCTGTTAACATGCCTTCTGTTTCTGTACTAGATCTTTTGATCCTTTTCTTGATGCAAAATGACCTGTAAAATTTCTCTTCTTTCTCTTTTTATTAGATTATATCTACTGTGCTTTGAACCCATAAAGAGCATTCACCTAACGTTGTGCTTAAAATGTTAATTGGTCCTCAGTCTGTTTGAATACAGAGTGGTGTCTTGTGAAAAGCACTGACACACAGGCACGTGCTCAGGGGTCCATCGTGTGTTTTCGCCAGTTTATTTCACGCCCCAGCCTGTTTTAAATGACAAGTATACTGAGTGTCCGTTATTTTTGGTAGATAACCCTTGAGTAACCAGCATAGAGGAGGCTAAATCCTCCCCCCCTCCCAGAGTTGTAGCTTCCAGAAACATATGTAATGAGGGAAGAGTTCTTCTTCTTTTTTATTTTTGGAAGAGTTCTTTTTTTTTCTCATTTTTTACTTAGTTACCTAGCATCAGGATTAAGGGATAATAATTCTGTTTTACTTTGCAAACTGATCATGGCCTCACTGAAGAGGAGCCAGCCTCACCTCTGGTTGAGTGAGCTCAAGGTTACTGCTTCAGAACCACTCTGGTTTTGTTTGGATGGTGAGGTGAGCTTTATACCTCTTGGCTGTTTGCTGGGTTTTTAAACTTGGACTGTCCCCCTGGAGGGCAGGTAGCAGCCACCACTGCCGACTGAGATGCAACAGAGCCGCCGGGACATGGACCCTCCAGTTCAGGGAAGCCTGTCTGCACATGGGTGTGCGGCACGGGGGTTGGGTGCTGAGCAGGAGGTGTGGTGGGAGGGGCCACCCCCCCATCACATTAGCACTTCTCCTGAGCCCGTCCCTTATTGGCCTTTGTTAGCTTTAAACTATTAGTCATTTTTGGTAAAGGGCCAGTGATGCCCTGTGTAAACTTGCCCGTGAAACTTGCACATGAAACATGTTGCAGAAACTTCAAGAGCAGCTGCCACTCGAGTGTTCATCATCACGTGCAAGTCAGTCATGATGAGTATTGTTTTCTAAATGTTTTGATGGAGCCAAGGAGGCTTGAAGGTATCAGAAACTATTTTCTTAAGAAGGCTTTGCTTTTCTGTATGACATTAAGCTTTCATGAATGCAGTAGGTCAGTTTTTTTTTCTGATGTAAGAAAATATAATGAAAACGTTTGAACAAGGAATTCTCTGTAGCCTACTTCCTACTTCATTTCTAACTCGAATGCTTAAGGTTCCTGATGCTTCTGGCGGACCTGGGCTTGTGGGGTCTCAGGATAATCGACTGCTCCTGACATCACCACGTCAGTAGACCTTTACTCCTTCTTCCTGGGGACAGTTGCCAGACAATATGCCCCTTTAGCAGTGGCTAGAAATGTGAATTCTAGAAAATTCTTTTTTGAGGGCAAGAGTCACTTTTATGTGTTACTGCCACTGTCGGGAGGCGCAGCAAGCTAGCTGGACAGATCTTTACCATTTGTTCATTCATTCAGCAGCTTTTACTGATGGCCTGCTGTGTGCCAGGTACATCAAGGAGTCAGTAAAAGAGTTTTGCCGTGGGTCTGGTGGTGGGGGTGTGGGAGTGGACCAGCTGATAAACAGTGAACGTAGGAAGTAAACGTTTTGTGTGTCAGAAGGTGATAAATTCTCTGGAAAAATGAAAAAGTCCATCAGGGTCAGTTGGGGTGTTGGTGGGAGGTCTGCAGTTTCAAAATAAGGTGGTCGGGGGGACCTCTTTGCGAGGATGAATGAGCAAAGATTTCAGTGAGAAGAAGGGAGTTTTCGGAGAGGACATCTTGGGGAGCACAGTTCTAGGCAGAGGGAACCGCCAGGCAGTGCGGTGGCCCCGAGCCAGGGAAGTGACCGGGGTGTTTGGGAAATAGCCAGGAGCTGTGTGGCTGGAGGAGAGGGGAGAGGGAGTCATGGGAGATGAGGTCAGAGAGGCCAGGGTGGGCCCGGTCATTCCTGCTGATCTGAAACCCCCTCCTGCGTGGGGCCGTCTGCTCAGCAGGGGCTGCCCCGGTAACGACAGGTGCTGCGTCTTCGCGTTTCACGGTGGCGCTCACCTGGGGCACACGGCAGTGTCTGGGGACGGCTTTGAATTTCCCAGGTCGGGGAGAGGATGCTCCTGGCATCCAGTGAGTTGAGGCCGGAAGCGCTGCGGTGCTCGGCCCGCAAGACAGAAAATGAGCCCGTCAGCGGTGCCGGGGGAGAGCCCCGGCTCTGTGGTCATGCGCTGCAGCAGCTCTGCGCGAATCTAGCTTGTCTTTGAAGACTTAATAAAAAAAGCCCAACAGTAAAATGTCACGGGAAGAGGTTACTGATCACGGCGTCTGGTCAGAATGCCCTCGCATCTGACAAGGGGGATAGTGCTGGCAGCTCTCACTCGCTTTGTGGGACGGGGTTCCAGATCTTCCTGGCACGTACATTTTAGTAAACTGGCACTTTTAGGGAGCAGTTCAAAAATTTTAATACATCATTTACAAGTAAATAGTAATAATCTCACTGATAATCTCATTAATTTGGATTCAGGTAGGATTTTGAAAGGGGACAGGATGGCGACCCACACAAGGGATAATGTTTACATATGTATGTATGTTTATATATTTCAGTATTTATTCAAAAGTATTCAAGATACTTTGAGTATTTGGAGTAAAAGACACCATTATTCGCATATAAGTGTGATGCTGTTAATGGGAGTATTTTCCTTGGCTTACACCAATTCAGTGTTTCTCAGAACTCAGTCATTTGCGTGCCGCTTTTCCTATTTTTGCTTTGTCTATATACCACCTGCATTTTTCTTTATATCAAATAATTTCTTTTATTTAAACGCATTTTGGGAAACTTGTATGCGTTGCTGGGCGTGAAACGTAACCAAAATATCATAAGACAAAGAGTGAAATAGCGTTATAAAATTCTAGTTAGACACCGTGGTCTGCTCAAGACTGTGAGAGCTGCTCTGTATTTCAAAGCAAGAGTAAGTAGCTTTAGAGAAGGGTTCAGGCACACTAGTGCCAAAAGGAAACTTATCTGATTAATCAGAGAATTAAGAAGGGAATAATCTTCCCATTCTGTGGCTTAGTGATACTTGATGTCCCTTCCTTGTGTCATACTGGGAGGCACCCTGTCCTAAGCTGTCCGCACTGAGGCCAGGTGACAGCTGTGCCTTTGCAGCCGAGCTGCTGGGGTCAGAGCTGCAGCCTGAGATGTGGGACCAACCTGTGATACAAAGGTGGCCGCTTCTCTTTGGCTCTGATTGGCCATCAGCATTCTGTTAATGCAGAACTCCCAGAGGGTAGCCTTCAGATAACCTGGGTCTTTGCTCTGTATGGGACTAAAATTCCGTTTCTTAAAACGAAACAAAACAAAGCAAAAATCCCTGTAATTCAGATTTCTTATTCTTTCCAGTGAGTTTTACACATCTTCCTTCCTTCCGCCCCTGTTTCCATACTTAACAGGAATTACCAAAATTTAATCTTAGTGTATCCATCACTGGGATCCATCATTGAAATTCCTGTATTTTGTTTCAGGCATTCTGTGATAGTTTTTGACCTGCATCTTTTCTTGAAACTAAGATCTCTTCATTTTTGCAGGCAGAGGTGAATGGATTAATGTCTCAGTTTCTTTTTTGGGGGGATAATTAGGTTTGTTTGTTTAATGGAGGTATCAGGGATTGAACCCAGGACCTCGTGCATGCCAAGCACGTGCTCTACCCCTGAGCTCTACCCTCCCCACAAAACATGTCCGTGTCTTTATAACTCATGTTGTAGGTGCAGCTCCAGGTGGCTTTAGGTGAGCCACTGCATCTCACGTTTGTTTGTGTGGAAACTGGATTTTCTCAGTTTTCTCAGGGGCTGTTAGACTCTCATGAATTGAATCAAAGTCTCAGGAGACTGATTTCTACAGAAACGACTATTTATTAAGTACCTGCCGTTTGCCAGCCGCTATGTGACACGGTCCCAGGGTTGCAAGGGCCTCCAAGTCTAGCTGTGGAGACAGAAACAGTCCACGTAAAGTTAATAATGCGCTGCGTCATGGAAAATTTTGAAACCTGACACCTGTGTCATTCCATTTATTGCCCTCCTATTTGATGTTACAGTTTTTACTGTATCATCTGTTTGCACGGACTGATGCAAAGTCTGGCGCATGTGAATCTGTGGACACCGTCAGGGCCCAGAGTTAAACTCAGTGCTTTCAAGCCCGCGCTAGGCCGGGCCCACAGTGTTCTGTAAATGTCTATGGGATGGAGGCCTCGTGTTCCTCCTGGGCCCTGAAATGCTCTGAGAATAGCTCATACCAGGTGACTGTGGGTGGGGGCCTCTTCATCCCCGGCAGGGACCCTGCAGAGAAATGATGGATTTGATTGGCCACACACATTTTTTCTACAAATATAGAATTTTTTATTTAAAATGTCTGGGTAACTTATACAGTGTACATTTTTAAAACTCAAATTACTAGCCTAAAAGAATTAGTTGAGAAAAAAATGCAGTTAGTGTTTCAAAGAAAAGTGAGCACCTGGGCATAAACTTGCCATCTCTTGTTTTCAGCCCTTGTCAGTTACTGCCGGGAGGAACCGTGGTTTTCCTGTCTGCCAGGTAGGACCCCTCTGCTCTTTTGCACCAGTAGTGCTTCTGGCACAGCTGTGTCGGGGCAGGGAGAAGGAGGGAAACCTAGATGCCCCTGAAGCTTGGGTGCATAGAGGGTGGTGTCCAGGGTCAAGGCCAGAACACGAGGGGCCAGATCCCGCCAGTCAGCGTGCACAAACTCACTTGTTCCAACATCCGGACAGGACGAGGGGAGGGTTTCATATCCGTCCTATGGATTAGAACATGGGAGGAGGGAGGGTGTAGCTCAGTGGTAGAGTGCGTGCTTAGCATGCACCAGGTCCTGGGTTCAACCCCCAGCACCTCCATTACAAAACACAACAAAACAAAAAAAATGGCAGTATAGACAGGTCAAGTCACTTACTTTGGTCACAGAGCTAATAAGTAGTAGCTGGGGGATTCATTCCGTTCTGGGGACTCCAGAGCCCCTGGGCTCAGCCACCCTGCTCCATCAGAGAGAAGGGGATGCCTGCTTCAGTGGGGGTACAGGGAAGAGCAGCCTTAAGAGGGAGAGTCAGTAGGCCTGCTGGCTCACCTGTCCAGAGTGAGTTGGAGGACCTTGGGATGGGAAGGATGCCGTGGAGTGGGGAAGGCTCTGTGATGAGGGCATGGAGGCCAAGACAAGATAACGGGGTGGACTTCCCATCAGATTCTGGCTTAGAGGTCAAAATTTTTTGCTTTTAACTGTTTTAAATCTGTTGGCATGGAGCTCCCTGACCATTTTTCAGAGGAGTGAGTGTCTGTTCTCTTGCTTCTGTGTCCCCAGTAGTGGGAAGGTCCTGTCCACGGTGGTGAGAGACGACTCAGGCATCAGCCCAACAACACTCAAAGGAGAGGGTTTGGCTTTTCTTGATGGCTCTGGTCTTAACCGTTACCCTCCCCTTGGATTATAAACGTGCCCACTTCATTTTCATGAATGATCAAGTCTGCAGCACTCGGAGGAGGCCTCAGCTGGAGAGGGTGGCCCAGTAGAAAGCGTGCGACCCGTCAGAGGTGACGTGCACTTACGAGTGTGGTTCCCCTCTCCCCCCTTAGGTGGATTTGAGGACTACGGTCCAGACTGCGGCAGCATGAGGGTAACAGCCTTCTTGGACGCCCTGCACCAGAACAACCTGCCTCCACTCACTTGCCTGGAAAAGCACGCCTTCAGCTATCACATCTTCAGCCGGTAAGCCCAGCCTGCCCCTCGCGTGGGTACATAGCCCTCTGCTGGGACCAGCTGAGCGGACACTGGTGGCCACCTGTCTGTGACAGCTTTGCAGGGACTGGAGGAGGGGGTGGAATGGGACTGTCTCCAGGATGCTGGGAGCCTGTCTGAACAGCACTGTGTTACTAGGCTTTTCCAGTATTCTGGTTACTGTTTTACGGCGATGAAATTTAATGGTGCTTAAAGAATTAGGGCTGCTGCCTGGGCTTCCTTCACACGGGGATGACCGTGCCGGGCTTCAGGGACGTTGATGCCACATGTCCTGCACATTCCATTGTCACTCCTTACGGTGCTGGCGGGACCCTCCTCCAGGCTCAGACCATGTCCCTTACCTTCAGCAGATGACCTGGACTCTATTTCACAAAGGATATAGAATCTAAGGCATCTCTTTCAGTCCACCATCCGCCCAGACCTGCGCCTGCCACTTCTTCCCCTCGTCTCAGCGCCTCCCTCGTGCCATCAGATCTGCCTTCTGTCTCTTCTCCCCACCTCGTACACGCCCTTCCCTTCCGCTTACAAACCCCTGCGTGTCTCTCCCTCTGAAGGGTCCTCAGGGCTCTACTTGCCGCCTCCCTTCATCTCTTCCCTGAAGGACACGGTTCTGTCAAGACCAGCTCATCCTCACCAAGTGTCTTTTCTTACTCCCACTACTCTTCTAAAAAATTATCCTCTGTGCTTTTACATCTATTAAATCATAGAGGGCTCGCAGCAGTTGCTGCTGAACGAGCCCAGTTATTATCCCAATTCTACAGATGGGGAAATGATGGTACTCTGAGCAGCATCTTTGATGAGCAGTTTTTCATTGAAATGTAGTTCACGAGTTGTCAACTTTCTCTTTTATGGTTGGTACTTTTTTGTGTCGTGTGTAAGAAACATCTGCCTTCCCCAAGGCCACCAGGATATTTTCTGACATCGTCTTCTTGAAGTTTTATTGTTTACCTTTCCCATTTGGACCCACAGTTTACCTGAAACTGTGTTTCTTGTTTGTATATGATGTGAGGGAGGAATCAGATTTCATTCCTCCCATATGGTATCTTGTCGATCCAGGGCCATTGACTGAAAATGGCATCCTTTATCCATACATTGTCTTCAATCAGGTGCCCATTTCTGGACTTCCTAGTCTACTGCTTCGGTCAGTTGGTCTGTCATTGCACCATTACTACAGCTGTGTCATCAGATTGATATCAGGGAGAGTGAGTCCTCCCACTTTGTTCCTTAAGATGGTCCTGGCGCTTCTTGGCCCTTTGCATTTCCAAATGTATTTTAGTACCGGTTTATCAACTTCTAGAGAGAAGAAACCTGTTGGCTTTTCGTTGGAATTGCATTGCATTTATAGATCAAGAGATAAAGAATTGACATCTTTACGATATTTAGTTTTCTACTCCTTCCATTTTTTAAAGATTTTCTTCAGCTTCCTTGTGTGTATGTATATCTGTGTACACGCACACATAAATACCTAAAACTATAATACGTTATAATGCAGAGTTTTCTGTCGTAGAGATCTTCTGTATCTTGTTAGATTTAATTCTAGGTATGTGATTTTTATGCTACTGTAGATTATATCTTTTCTGAAGATTTATATTCTAATTGTTGTTGACATATGACAGTGGGATGGATTTTTAGATTTTGATTTTGTCTCCATGGATTATGCCAAGTTCACTTATTCATTCTGATACCTTTTCTGTATCTGGATTCTTTGGTTGCTACAGCGATGCTGTCTGTGAAAAGTGATAGTTTTATTTCTTTCTTTCCTATCTTGTTTTGTTTTTTTCAGTAGTGCCTCTTACCAGCTTAAGAAAATTTATATATCTATTTTGCTAGTAGATTATTTTTAAACTTTAAAAAAAATTCCACACTTTTAGGAAAATTTCAAGAATAATATAAAGAATTCTTGTATATCTTTCACTGAGATCTGTCAATTTGTTAACACTTTGCCACATTTGATTTATATCTCTATTTTAATTTCTCCTTTTTTCCTCCAACCATTTGAGAGTTGGAGACTTTCTGTTGCTTTTCCTTTAAATACTTCAGTGTGCACTTTTCTAAGAACAAGGACATTCATTATTGACTTACATAATCACAGTACAATGATTAAAATAAGGAAATTTAACTTATACAGTACTGTTACCTAATACATAGATTTTAATTGGATTTTACCAATTGTGCTAGTAGTGTCCTTTAAGTTAGGTTTTTTGTTTGTTTGACTTTTATGTCCAGAATCAAAGCCAGCATCACATATCGCATTTAAGTTTCGTGTTTTTTCAAGTTTCCTTTAATCTCTGACATTTTCTTGGCCTTTCTTTGCCTTTCTTGATAACGCTGGCATTTTTGAAGAGTACAGGTCGTTTATTTTATAGCATAAAATCACTAAGAGGTTTAAAAATCCCTCAGTGAGGTCTGAGTTTTATGTAATGCTGCTTCATCTGTTGAGATTATCAGATGGTTGGTCTTTATCCTTTGCTCTCTCTTCCAACTTTCTTTAAAACTTCTTCTGTTGTGAAATATAGCACATACAAATAATTGGATAAAACAAACATGTGAAGTCCAAGGAATTTTTATGAACCAAATGCCTACATGCCATTGTTCAAGTCATCCCAGAAGTCTGGACTCCCCCAGTTCCCGAAGGTAACCATCGTCTGATTTTTATGCTCCTTACATCCTCCATTTTCTCCCAAGTTTTAACACCTAAGTATCTACCTCCAAATAATATAATTTAATTTAATCGTTCCTAAACTTGAAATTTATGAAGTCATTTAGGATGCGTTACTTTGTGGTTTGCACATCGTTTTGAGTTTGTTCCTTTCGTAACACTGTTCTGTTGTTTATCGACCTTTATCTGCTGCTGTTAGAGGAGTTGAGGTTTTCTCACCATCATGAACTGTTTTGCTGGGAACAATCTTGTATGTGTTTCTGGGTGCACATGAGGATGCATTTCCTTAAGGCACGTATCCGGGAAAGGATCACTGTGTGATGGGCTATGCTTATTTCCGACTTCAGTAGGTGGGGCCAGTTTTCCAAAGTGCTGGCTGCAGTTAACACTTCCCCCTTGGCCCTACATTTCATCTGCCAATTGGTATGGCCAGACTTTAAACTTGTAGCCCCTCTGATAGTGCAGTAGTGTGTATAATGATACCGATTCATTATTTTAATTTACGTTTTCCTTGTTTATGACTTTGAACTCCTTTTCACATATTTGCTGGACATCTGACTTTCTCTTTTCAGTGAAGTGTCTGTTTAAGTCTTCTGTTGGGATGTAGGGGGGAAGATGGATTGTCTGTCTTTTTCCTATTGATTTGTAGGCGGTTTTTGTAAATTCTGGATTTCAACCCTTTGTCAATCATGTGTGGTAAACACCGTCCCTCATTCTTTTTTGGCTCTTTGTGGTGTTCTTTTGGTGACTGGAAGCTCTTCTTTTATCCTTAGTGCATTTTGAAGTTTCTCTAAAATGTCTCTCTCTACCCAAGATCATAAACATGGTCTTTTATATTGCTTTAAAGCTTTAAAGGCTTTAGTTTAGATTTTTGTTGTTGTTTTTGTTTGTCTGTTTACATTTAGGTCTACAATCCATTTGAAACTGATTTTTGTTCATTGTGTGGAAGAGGAGTCCAGTCTCATTTCCCTGACTGTCACGATACCACTCACCAAAAACATGTCCTTTCCCCGTGCTGGGGGAATGCCCCCTCTGTCATAATCCAGTGTCTGTTTGTGACTGGACTGGCTCCTCTTCCCGTGGTCGGTTTGTCTTTCCCTCTGCTGCTACCACACTGCCGTGATCACTGTAGTTTTGTAGTGAGCCTTGATATTTGGTAAAATAAGAATTCTCACTTGGCTTTTTTTCTTTTTTTAACGTGGCTTGTTATTCTTGGTCCTTTGCATTTCCATATAAATTTCAAAATCAGCTCTTCAGGTTTTAATACAACAAAACAAAAACAACACCGATTAGACTTTTGATTGGGTTTGCATTGAATCTGTAGGTCAGTTTGGAAAGAATTGCCCTCTTTATAGTATTTAGACTTCAATCCATAAACATGGTATATCTTTCCATTTATTTCGGTTTTCTTTAATGTCCCAATACAATTTGATCATTTTCTCTGTAGAAGTTTTGTGCTTTTTTGCCAGTGTATTTTAAAGGTGGATATTACATCATTTTATCCAGCTAAAGACTTAACTCTTACTGCAGTATCATTATCACACTCTACAAAATGAACAAAATTGCCTTCCAGTCTACCAATCTATGTTCAATTTTCCCTGATTGTCTCAGAATGCCTTTTTATGGTTGGTTGGTTTGAATCATGATCCAAATAAAATCCACACATTTCATTAGTAGATGTGTCTCTTAAGTCTTTTTTTTTGTTTATTGTTTTTTTCCTTTTGCTCTTAAATCCCTTTTGCTCTCTAATTGATTCTCCATCTCATCTTTCCCCCACATCATTTATTTGTTGAAGGGGTCATTAGTCTTGTAGAATTTTCCACATTCTGAATTTGGTGGTCATTACTCTCATGGTGTAATTTAACATGTTCCTTTGTTCTCTGTATTTTCTATACACTGAAAATTATACTTGGAGACTTGATTAGATTTTGCTTCAATTTTTTTTAAGAATACTTAATAGGTTGTTTTATATACTTGTTACAAAACATCAGGAAACAATGTTTGGTTGTCCCACTTTTAGAGCTGTTAATATTGAGCAGTGGGCGTAGGTGTTCGTTTTTTCATTATAAAATTCCTCACCAACCTTTCCTTTAATCATTTTGGTGGTCACAAATAATCAACACTAAGATCTGTTACTTCATTGTGTGTTGGAAAATGGTAATTTTCTTTTTATTGTCTGTGAAATCTGTAGTATGGCTGCATTTTCCATCCTGTTTTTGGTTATTGTTGCCTTTTTTCCCCCTAGATGATTCTTACTAGAGGATTATCAATTGCATTAGTTCTTTTGAAGACCCAAGCTTTCCCTTTGAAT